CAATCTTGGGCTATTTGCATCCAGGTTTTTCGGTTCCTTTGTTTATATCGTCCCATCTAATCTTCTGGCGGCCGACGCATCTGGTACCGTTCGTGGATCTCCACTCCAATACTCGTCTGCTATACCGGTCATCGTTTCTGCGGGTTATGTGACATAATATGCGCAATAAGTCAACTTAGTGTGATTACGGATTTGTTTTTTACCTGTTTTATACCCAACATGGTGATAAACAAAAATTTCACCTCACTGACAGTTTTAATCTGTGCGCCGGATTGTGCGCCAGTACACTCTGCAGGTGCCCAACTCAGCCTCCCAAAAACTTGTTTCAAACGTTTCTTTATCACTTTTAATGTGGAAGTTTGTTTAAAGTTTCAATCTTCAGTTCTCAACGAATCCATTACAGAATAACTTACTTTGTCTCCGGGGACATAAAGTCCTTCTTTCTTAGCACACGAACTCCCTGGATAGCTCATTCGTTTTCCCGAGTTTATAAGGTAGTTTTACTTCTTATCTCAAGCCGCGTTGAATTTTTGTTGCTATGTATGTGTAATAATTAATATAATAATAATTATATTAATATTGAACCGAAAACACGAGGCTTGTTTCATAGTTGGTCAAATTCACTGGGATTATTATGTGCAGAGAACGCCGCAATGCAAATACAACAAATACCTAATTATTACCCAAAAATTAATGTTTACGAAAATACGATTCCATTTTACGAAGTCGTACCTACCGCTTTTCGAGCAGAGGGTTGTAGGTTCGAATATAGACTTACACCTTTGAGTTTTTCAGACTTTGTGTGAAATTTAATTTCAAATATACCATGTGCTGTACAATCAAAGAAAAGTTAAGGAAACCGGCACACATCTGCAAAACAAGTCAACGTTATGTGTGAAGTTCGCAATCCACTTTGGGCCACCGTGGAAATTACAGCCTCCAAGTCTACTCCAGCTAAGTCCTCTCATTGTGAGAGGAGGCCTGTACCCAACATTACGACAATATAAAGCTAACATTTTTTTGTAATATCAAGTGACGGGACGAATAAGTGGTGCGCCTGGTAACCTACACGCCTGTCCATTACAGTTACAGTGCCACTCAGAGCTTTAAATCGCAAAGATCTGAAGGGCACGGCCAATGCGCTCGACACCCTGAGACATAAGTTGACAAGTCCCATGTGCTTGTAATTTCACCAGCACCCTTCAAATTCTTAAAAAAAACCGGAATGCAGTAACGCTAACTCTAATGCTTGGCGGCAGAAATAGGTAAGGCAGTACTTCACTGGACCAACCTATCACATGGAGCTCTATTACTACTATAACTAATTAGTACTATTATTACGATTTTTTGCATAATCATTAGAAAATTAAAAAATATAATAATTAACTAACGAACGGAACTCGCACCGAGAAATCCGCGAGTAATCGGGCCCCGATTTTACGAACACCCACCCACAAGTCTAAAAAGTGTTTTGAATGACGAAGTGTTTTGTTCCCGACTGAAAGACCTTTTATTAGATAATTAATTCTAGAGTGTAGAGGAATTTCTTTTAAAGAAATTGTAATTATATTTTAATTTTGGACGTTTGTATTTTGAAAATAATTAATTTTTGTTTATGTTTTTGTAGTTCGTATTTTTCTTTACTTTTATTTTTATTATTTTGTTTTATATTAACAATAAAATTATTGTTTACAATATGAAATAAATAATTTTATTCTATAATATCAAACCCAGAACCAAATATCTCCCATTAATATTAAATGATAAAATAGGTATATTCGTCATCTTCTTATAAGAACCCGAGTTTTTTTTGAAAAAACAAATATACACGATTTAATATTATTTATTGGTGTGTAATAAAAATTCACTTTCATCTCCAGGCATGCAACGGCCCTGGTGCATCTTGGACTTGGAGTTCCAGGCCTCGCGACCTGGGCGTCGGTGCGGAAGCCCCCAGGGCCCTCAGCATAGGCCGCAGCGCTTCTGCCACACTTCGAGCTGCTGCCGACCTAAATGTGGACGCCATTAAAGAGAAACTACTCGACCACCGAATCCCGGAGTCCTGCGTTTAGTGGCTTAGTTTAAATGTTAGTCTAATTTTTAATTGTGTGACTGACTGTATGGTATTTTGAAATGGTAAGATAAATGCTGCTGACAGAATGCTTAGGTAAAGTGTCTTTACGAAATCGAATTAAGCTTTGACGACAAAGTGAAAGGATGTTAGGAAAGAAAATATGCTTAAAACATAATATAATAGGACCAAGAAGGGCAACTCAAAATGCCTACACTTCGCTCAGAGTGTAGGGTTGTCACATGTTTATTTCAGTTATACACAATTTTTACAACCTGTAGAGATTGTAAACACAATTTGATAATAAGATTTTGTGGGAAATAACACGAACTAGCAATATTAACGCGGATATAATATAGAAGTAGAAATGTTCAACCTAACTTTAAAAAAGTTTCATAGAAACGACATTTAACCGAGAATTCTTTTTTTACGCGTGACACCAAAGCCATCTTGCTTTTAAACAAGGAAGAATTTACACCGTCCCAACTGATTTGAACAAAATATTTGTATTATTTTACTAAAATTATGCTCTCTCCAAGTCACGTAGTGAGCGGAGTTTGTGAAGAAGATGTGCTTCACCCATTTAAAAAAGTGCATCATCATCGTTCTATCTAATATTTATTTCTGTGATCCGAATCACCCAAATCAGAATTTAGAAAGTTCGTTTTGGGAACTCCTCACCTAACGCCCATAGTGCTAGCCGCTGGGCCACCAAAAGTCGTCATGTTCATAAATATTGAGAAGAACGAAAATTCTGAATTAGAGAATCTCTTATTCAAACAACCATAAATGCAACAATAAACACGTCTACTATTTGATGTCTTTTTTTAAACACCGAGCGAATGTTTCAATTAAATAAATTGCGCGTGCGACTACACGCGCTATGCAATGAGAGTATGAGATTGTGCGAATGTATGCGTCGCGTCCGTACATGCACACATACAAGCCGCGCAGCCACGTGTGTGTGGAGTTATCATTCTTGGTCTTATTATACTACGCTTAAGATTTGTAATTGAATGTTGCACAGAGTAGAAATGAAGGCAGAAAAATATTCCTAGATAGAAAAGATGCTTGAAAGTTTCTTATGTGCACAGTCAGTTACACAGTTATTCGTTTGAAATATGACGTTTCTTTTTAGGATTTACTGAATGTTATATATACGAAAGAAAGAATCTCACTTGAGAATATTAATTACCTTTGCTATCCTTTAGAATTACAACACTACTAAATTTGAATTTCGGAGCTACCTTCGAGCCGGATCAAGTTTGTAGGCGGGCAATCAAACTCCAGTGTTAGACGTAAGAGTACCTCGTCATATAAAAAAAAAGATAAAACAGCTTAACCCATAAATGCCCGTAACTATTTTAGTCTTCGATTTGTGTTATTTTCGGATATATGAGAGTAAATGTGAATAGAAATGGATCTGAATTATCAGTTTTGTGAAAAAAGTACTGAAAAATGGTTTTTAGAGTTGGATCACTAACGACTCACTGGGCACATACCTACCCTTTAGAAGTTTAGTAGAAAATTAAAAGTAATTGATATCACAGTGAAAATAGCTTTATTGTAAAATCTAACTATTGCTAATTTTGATGGAATAGAGCAAAACATTTGTCGTTTAATTCAATGCCACATTTTTACACGATTTTGTAATTTTATTTTTGCATACAGCACAACGTCTTCTTTTTGGGTGATCAGCTGAATAAGTACGAACAGAAGAAGGAATCTGTTTTGGTATTGAAGGATTTGAAGGATCTAGCTTCACTCTCGGCATTCCATATATCGTTTGAAGTATCCTACTTATAGATCGTCTAATTCCAAAGTGTCTACAAAGGCACCGTAAGACTTAGCCAGAAGGATGGCATTATTGACGACTACATCCACCAGCCATAATAGAGTCGACATGTACTACTTTTTTCTACGAATGGCAATTAAATAGGCACCAATATTCGCATCCAAATGGTCTACTCCTCCCACGTATCTATTGTATTTATCAATAAGATCGGGCTGTGGCACTGAAATACGACGTTTTTCAGCAGCTGAATACCGAGACACAAAGCGTAGTGGTTCAACGCCATATATGTATATTGGACAGCATACTTACAACTGTTATCAACGGACAGCTATAATATTTGACTGTTCATCTGCACAGAAGTCGTAAAATCCTCTTTCTTTTTTCTTCATAACTTTTTCACCCATCAGCGGGCATTTTTCTGTTATGATATTTGTAACAGTTCCAGCAACATTTATTCCTTTTTCTGAAAATTTTCTAATAGCTGGTGGCTGCGTCCATTGACAGCTCTAGGAATAAATGCCCTTATTTCCCGTTTACGACTGATTTTAACATGTTTCCTTTTCAATGTAACTTTTCTTCTTTTAGAGGATCTTGAAGTACTTGGCCGAGAGATCTCATCTTCACTCTTTTCCTCTTTACTTTCCTGAAAATATTGCCCTTTATTGATGACTAACTCTACGGGTGACTATAGTTGAGCTCGATTCAGCTGATCTGGATCATTACAGTCTTCGGCTCCTGAGTCACAATCGGAATTTTGGCCATCATTTGGTGGGTCAACATAAATACCAAGATGACCTATTTATTTATTATATTACATATTGCTTACAAATTAATATTCAAAATTGAAAATTTTACAATTCATTGAATTTGATATATTGCATAAAATAAATTGAATTAAACATTAGATAAAAATAACAAATCATGGTATTGGACATATCGCGAGTACATTATTAACAATCAAATTTTAAAACATTTACATAGTATTAATTATTTGGGATACACAATACTTATATGATGCTACTGTTTATCAATGACTCGAGATATCGTCTCGCGGAAACCGTAAAATGGGCTTCCGCGCATGCAAAGAGGTCCAAAGAGGAGTCAAAGATAAGCATCCGATTGAAGTACTTAAGCGCGCGGGGCAAAGGAGCCAGATCATTTGCCCTAGAACGTGTAGAAGATACAGCAAGTAGCTGAGGCCGCACCAGGCTGGTCCTAGGCATCCAAATGCCTATCATGGATAGTATGAATAGATTGTACAAGATACCACGCACCAAGCGAAATATGTTATCCTATGTTATCCTAGTCAGCAAATATGTTTATATCCTCCAGAATCTTGAAGGTAGTAAGCGCTCGTCTACTCCTGCAACAAAATATATAGGTCAGACATTAGATCAAAGGGTCGTTAAGTTATTTAGAAAATGAAGTAAAAAAATTGTGATTTTTAGGATTCAAACAATTTAAATACATAATACAATTATGAATCAATGTAAATCTGCCAAAATATTAGACATTAGCATAAAAAAATAATAAATACTTACATTTCTAATTGTGGAACCGGCAGTCACAATCGGAATTTGGCAACTTATGATTTGAAGTCATCAAAATAACTTACCGTAGAAAAATAACACACACGGCGGTAGATAAAAACTAAGGTATGTTTATAAAGTGTCATCTACGTGATATCAAATATCGCTAACTACCTAATATTTTTCTACAAGCAACAATTTGGTGATCCGAGAATAAGTGGGTCATTAACGACCCTTTGGGCATATATGGGTTAACACTAATGGTGTGGACACATTGATAGCGCGAGGTAGAATACTACTAATGCCATCTAGCGGCATTCGTACCACACTAACTGTATGCAATCCATACACCTTTCTAATTACCTTGTACAGGTACAGACTTTGGAACTTCTCAATAAACGCGAATCTGGTTTTGATATCCAGCTCGAAGGACGGTTCCAGAAAACTATAGAAATTCCAGAATATATTGTAAACTTTTGTTGCCTAACATTTATGCACGTCTAACAACTTCTTATTCTAAGAAAATTATAAGTGTATGTAAGAGGAAACGTCATAAAGCAAGCATTGTTTCACTGTACATTCAGTCTACAGTATGTAAATGAATAGCTAGAGTTTCCTCTCTGTTGTCTCTGACGATTTATACTCTAAACAATACTTTCATTATCCGGGTAGTGTCATTTGTTTATGACGACACAATCTTTGCAGTGAGGTCGTGGTAAAAGAAAAAAAATGTCTTATAGTAACCTCTGTAATATCAATCAATTTCGTTATATCGACGTTATACGAATATTAAAACCGTAACGTTGTTGTAGAAAGACCGTATGACAACTTTTCAGTAAAGAGATTTACAGATTTGATTAATGAAATTAGTCGGTAACTCTCTTAGGGTCGTATTCTAGAACTCTATTCAATGATCAAGTCAGTATTGCACTGGCAACACAAGCACTGGAAATACGACCCTAATGGCAGGGACTTGAGTATGATTTCTAGTGCTTTGAATCATACTCAAGTCCTGACTTAAGCATTGAGTAGAGTTCTAGAATACGACCTTTAAACTTGAAAAGGTGAGATAAAATTTCATATACAGGGTATTTTTTAAATATACTATATCACTAACATCATAAACATTGCTCCACTTGCACTTTTGTTCCATGACTTTTAACAAAATGTAAATAGTAATACTCTTTAGTAGCAGTAGAGCTCCTCGTGATGGAGTTCATCCAGGGAAGTACTGTACCTTATCTATTTCTGCCGCCAAGCAGTGATGTGAGCTTAAGCGTAAGGGTGCTGGTGAAATTACAGGCATATGGGACTTGTCAACTTTTGTTTCAGTGTGGCGGTGCCCCTAAGATCTTTGCGATTTAAAGCTCTGAATGGCACAGCAACTGTTATGGATAGGCGTATCACTTGGTTAATACCAAAAAAAAATTACCAAAAATAAACTTTTTTTAGATCTGTATTTGGTAGAATAAGTTCAAACGTGCAAGCGTCCTCCGCGATGACTTCCACTCCCGTTTTGCACAGAGTTATTACCATTTAGAGCGATCTGTTTAAATCTATTTATTTTTGGATGAAATTGAAATCTGACAAATTATTAAAAGTAATGGAACAAAAGTTGTTGTTTATAATGTTAGCAATATAATCTCGAGGTTGTTAGTATTGTAAGAATAGCCCTGTATATATAATTTGTTTCACGTAGGTGGTATTATTTTATGAGATTCACTCAAAAGGCTTAGTCGTAAAACCTAAAATTAATGATGAACGAAAACATCCTGACGAAATCCGTAAATCGAAGAAGGTTCATAACCCGTGTAAAGTCCTCAACCCACATTGAAGTGCGCTTCTATAATCACATCTCACACAAGACTGGCATGATGGCCCGCAGTGGCACGCAAACAGGGCCCCAACTCCGTTAAGTTTAAAACATTTCAGTTATGTATCTAAAGAGT